TTGTTAGGCACATTTTTAAATTTGTTTCACTTAAACTTTTTTAGTTATTTCAAAAAAATATTTCCTGCTGGGGTAACGTTTGAAACGTTACCGCAGCCAGACATTTTCTTTTTTAATTGTAATATTGAAATAAATTTTAGCTACATAATTAGTTATCCGGACTAGGTAAATGTTACAACTTATTTGGTATTTGTATTTTCTTCGGCTGCGAAGTTATTCGAGATCCTGCTGGAGTAACGTTTGTGGGTTTGCTGGATCTCTGAAACGGGTAAGCGGATTGTAACCATCTTTTGTACATAACTTCTTAAGGATTAGTTTTAATTTGTTCGACAATAAAATAACAAAAATAATGGACCGTTTAAAAATTATTTAGGTAAGTATGAAAACACTTCAATACGTCCTAACACTTTAAATAAGACCTCTAAAGACTTACTTGAAACGTTATTCTATTGCTTGTAACTACCTTCAAATGTATACGAATTTTCGTAAGAATACTGTAAGTGACTAAAAAGTTATGATGAAATGTAGCTCTCCACGTTCACGATCACAATGTGTGCGGCCTTTTTTGGCCACCGATAAACCTGTGTGTGGATATATAAACTGAATGTTATGCCAGTAATTAGTTGTTTAGTTCAGTTGTCTACCTGTAGAATTTCAGCGTCGTACATATAACAGTTTACGAGATAATTAAATAAAAGTCATTAGAAGGTGCAAGTCCGTGGTAATCCGACCATGTTTAGGTGGTTACAAAAAAGCGATCACCCAGTACATGGCGCTGTCTTTTAAAATGTTTAGTGTAATACACCTTACGATTTCGGTACAGTTGCGTACAGTGTTAAATACATTCAATATTTATTCATTATTATTACCTATTATTTATTTTGTTTTTTCCCTAATTGATCTTAAGCACTAGTTTCTTTACTTAAAATTTATTTAGTCTTTTTTACCACCGGAGCTACAATCAACAGAAAATCTGCACTGGTCCGCTAAAATTATAAATATGTAGATACATGTATGAACGATTCACCTGACTGCAATAAAACGAAAATTTAAACCAATAAGAAATCGTTTCATTTCTTTGATTTTTTTTTGTAAAGAAATAACACTAAAGTAATTGTATTTTATTTTGGGGTGTATAGAGCTTAGACTTGAATGCATCAAAATATTTAAAGCAACAAGTCATCTACAATAAGTTAAAATAGACCGAATAGTAGAAGAATACAGTTGTAAATTAGAATGCATCAACATTGCATCGCCCAACAGTCGTACCTCGTAAGAGTAGGTAATATTGTTCTGTGGTCTATACCTAGAACCGAGAATTATCTATACCTATGTACCTACCGTTAAACGTTGAGCCCGTGACTGTTGATTTCTGTTAAAAACGAACAGTTGTTGAATGATATTTTGATATAATAACGGTAATTTAATTTATCGAGTGAAAGTGATACATTTTTATAGATAAAATTATTAGTCAGATAATATTTGTCAATCAAGAATCGCTGATAATACATCCTTCGCTAGAACGCGAGAACAATTTGCATCTAGTGCACTAAACTTGACCCTTAGGCAGATAATATACGTGTTGTAAAGTACGTGTGCGCTACCGCTTTCTATTTTTGCAAATATTTATCGTATTCTTGAGAGTTCTTAAATATGTGTGTATCTAATTACTAATAATAGGCATTAATGGTAATTCGATTCAATTTAAGTAATTGTCAATTCTTGTCTTAGGATATTAATTACTAATGCTAATATTAAAATTTCGTTCAGGGTGAACAAATTAAAAACGATCATAACTTTTAGGTAGGTATATCACTTATTACTAATTTTACATAAATAATTTATTTTATTATAATTTAACTATTTTATTTTCTCCAACATTATTACAGAAATAATGCAATACAGAGTTTGTTCGCGATATGCTAGCCTAAGTCGATTCATCACTTAAAAAAATCCCCATCTATTCACAAAATACCTATTTACAACGCATACGTTACACTCTTCAAAACTTATCATTTCATTTTATATTTCTTAAATTACCTATACCTACCCTAAAATTAAACTTCAATTAACAAATACTACGCAGGTACCAATTCTATGAACAACTATAAACAATTCACCTAAACATTACGAGAAAACAAAAGCATTCAAAACAATACCTAATCTCCCGGCTGATTACTAATTATGCAATAAACAATCCTAAATAAAAAATATTTAAAAAACATGTAGTTTTTTGTAACACTTATGTGCATATCCGTAGTAAACTTGCAAATAATATCCTACATATTTTAAAAGCCAGCACAATGTACTGGGTGATCGCTTTTTTGTAACCACCTAAACATGGTCGGGTTACCACGGTCTTGCACCTTCTAATGACTTTTATTTAATTATCTCGTAAATTATTATATGTACTACGCTGAAATTTTACAGGGAGACAACTGAACTAAACAACTAATTACTGGCATAACATTCAGTTTATATATCCACACACAGGTTTATCGGTGGCCAAAAAAGGCCGCACACATTGTGATCGTGAACGTGGAGAGCTACATTTCATCATAACTTTTTAGTCACTTACAGTATTCTTACGAAAATTCGTATACATTTGAAGGTAGTTACAAGCAATAGAATAACGTTTCAAGTAAGTCTTTAGAGGTCTTATTTAAAGTGTTAGGACGTATTGAAGTGTTTTCATACTTACCTAAATAATTTTTAAACGGTCCATTATTTTTGTTATTTTATTGTCGAACAAATTAAAACTAATCCTAAAGAAGTTATGTACAAAAGATGGTAACAATCCGCTTACCCGTTTCAGAGATCCAGCAAACCCACAAACGTTACTCCAGCAGGATTTCGAATAACTTCGCAGCCGAAGAAAATACAAATACCAAATAAGTTGTAACATTTACCTAGTCCAGATAACTAATTATTTAGCTAAAATTTATTTCAATATTACAATTAAAAAAGAAAATGTCTGGCTGCGGTAACGTTTCAAACGTTACTCCAGCAGGAAATGTTTTTTTGAAATAACTAAAAAAGTTTAAGTGAAACAAATTTAAAAATGTGCTTAACAATTACAGAAGGGGAGCAACTAATTATCTATAAAGTTTAAATGACCATTTTCGACATTATTTTGCTGGGGTAACGCACACGTACCTCCACTATCTCCTAATACAATAAAAACAGTATTTTACTGAATGAAGAACCTATTATCACAACCATTTACTTCTAGATCAAGCCTTCTGGTACCCATGTCAATCACTTAAAAAACTGATATCGTTGATGTGGGTTTCGGTTACAATAGTAAATGTAATTCTAAATTTATGAATAAAAATCCACAAACTCATCCTGGTCCGATAACATCAAATGGCAACTCCTCACAAAATATTTACAAAATGACACCTTACCCCAGTGTCTGATCTTATTTAAATTCTGTGTTAACTTGTTCAATCATAGAAAGCGTATGACGTAATTCTATAATCGTGGTGGGCAATAAGGTAAAGTGGTCTGGTTAGGAACCGTCGCGTAGGGTGCAATAATTTTAACCGTTGTCCATTAGCTTAATAGAAATTATAACCCGCATATAATTTAAAATGCTATGTAACTAGCCACGCCTCTCAATTCTTTTCTGGGATTTGTTTGACCGGATAGGCAACGACTCCCACTTTGTTCTTTGCTTGCCGTATATATTATGTACGTTGATCTATGCTTTCCTCGTTTTCTTTTGCCTTCCAGTATTGCTCTGAAAAAGTTGGCGTGTCCTACCAAAGTGAACTATTTTGCCTCTTCTATATATCTATGCTAATACTAGCTGTATCCGGCCACGCTTTGCTGGGCATATTGTGGTTGCATTAATAAGGATAGGGAACAAAACCGACTCGAAAAATAGATAAAAACCATCTTTGAAGCTGGTTGTGTATCGTGTTAAAATTTGAATTCGGTTCAGGACTTTTTGTGTTTTTGAAACGTACAGAAACCACCTTAAATTTTTTATAAATTTAGATTATTAAGCGAAAGAGTAGGTTGGTTTGTTTGGTTGGTTGAGAGTGCTTATCTCACTAATTACTGGTTCGAAAAAAATAGGAGCCGAGCATTAATGAATGTTGAATTATTTTCCACTTAGAAAATTGTCAAAATTTAAAAAAAAAGTAGAAACAGTTGGGGCAAGGTCCGGTCAGTGCGGTGGGTGAGAGCTTTCAGCTGTAACTCTTGTAGCTTTGCGATGGTCTATCGTGAAGTGTGATCTCGCGCGTTGTCGTAGAGAAGCAATGGCGAATAGCGGTTGACCAGATGAAGTTGTTGAATTGCGCTCAGTTCATGTGGTTCTCACTTATCTAGCTTTTTTATCTTTCCGATTTGATTTTTTTGTTATTTTTAAAAAAAGACAACTCCCGCACTAGGAATAAATCCTGTGTCGCGGGGGACTTTACAAACATACATGAAACGGACACAAAAGACACCCAGACTCAGAACAGCAATTTGTGGATCACACAAAGTGTTGTCCCATGTTAGGATCGAACCTACAACACTCAGCGTAGTAGGAAGCGGCGAGGAGACCGCTTAAACCACTACGCCATACGTGCAGTCCATTGACATACGTGCAGTACTTTGACTGCTTCAATCTTATTTTGACACTAACTCCAAAGCCAGCAGCAAGCTCAGACGTAGATAGATTTTTATCCGCTTCCACTATCGCCTTCAATTCATCTTCAATCATTAGGTAACTAAATATGGCTGTCTTTAGTTCTAGTCGTGGACCTGTAATGTTACACGATATAGGTGGTTCGCCTTAAACTTTATTATTTGGAACTAAATCCCTTAGCTGGGTCTTAGAATTGAAACTTTACCTGTAATTTTAGTGAAAGAAAAGATAATTAGGATGGAGATTAGGCACTTTCTCATTTTAATTTTTCGGTAGACGTTTGATCAAAAGTAATATATTGTACTAAGAATACCCAAGTGCTATAAGTTTTTTTTTTCAAGTATTATATTTTTTTCAGGTAATGAAGACTCTTCAACGTGTATTTTGAAAAGAAACTGGAAATTTTATGAGAGGTAAATTTCATAAATAAGTATTGTAGTACTCGTGCTAAGCTAACAATTTGTTTTGCTTGTATAAAATGACGCGCCAAAAGCTACTTCTATTAGAGGTTCACCTACACTCATAAATAACAAATTTACCTTTGATTCTACTTACATTATTCATATTGTGAATGTTGCAACTACTTGTTATAAAAAGGTGCACATAACGCACGTACTACGACTATGCTGTATGTGTTAACTCTTATTTCGTTATTCACCTCTAACAAATTCGACGGGCACTTTAACAAACTATGACAAAATAAAACAATAACACCTACCTATAATAGACCTATTATCGTCACGTTAGAAAGAGGTTTTATTATTCGCCTGTGGTTAACATGTATTTTAATATTCAATCGATAGTATATAATCTTACGTCGACTTAGTGACGTATCATCATCATTCATGAAAAAGAATTACAAACAACACTGTTCTCCAAATACGACTCGTTTGGAAATCTGAACACGGTGGTCATTCAATTAAGTTTCTCTCTATTTATATATATTAATATACCGATAGCCTACCACGCTATCGCTAATTTTCTTAAAGAATTAATGTAAGAGATGGACACCATTCTGTAATGAATTCATGACGTACTTCTAAGAAATGACCACTGCCTGGCGAGATATCACTGCTGAAACGAAAAAAAAAATGCATTTGACTCCTTCAATAATCCATTTAATTAGGCAGCATCATTTCTTCACCGCTTAAAGCTCTCAAATAAACTTAAATACCGACTGTCTGATTTTAATACAACTAATGCTACAAAACCATTTAAATATCAATTTCACTTTTCAACAAAACAAATCATCGTCGCAAAAATCTACCAAAATATTACTTAACTACGTCTATCACACCGAATATATTATTTCGTGGCGCCGAACACTGTTCGTTTTCAACATCTGTGTTGTAACACTGACGAAATTGTGACTAGAAATTGTATCTGCCCTGTGTTGTCATACTATATTGTTATTACAATTAAAGCCACATTTCCTTTTTTAGTAAACTAGAATTTGCTTCCATTGTCTTTTGTTTAGCTAATGTTTAACTTTCATTACGGTGTCTATTTCTCTAGCTCTTAGTTATTCTAAAAGTTTTTATTATTTTTAGAGAACTTTACTTGTGAGGTGAGTGACCAGTTTACAACATAATTTGATACGTTTGTGTGATCCTCTTTTATGTGGGCGATCAATATATTTAGATATATTACCAACTAATTTGATTTATATCTTATATTCAGTTACCCTTGAAAGCACAAACAGATATGATGACCGCTCTTAAGATTGGTTAACCTTATTCGATTACCTATCAGTAAATGAAAGCTATGAACCAATTAATTAAACTGATTGATGAATAAACATCTTAATTATTATTGCTTTTGCATCAAAATGCTGTCTTTGTGCGGAATTGCATGTCACTGAGCATTCAATAGTCGTTTGCAATCAATTCTCGTAAAGAGCTATTAAGATTTCTCAACACGGATTGTAATTGTCGCGTTCTCTCGTTTCTGTTCTTGTTTCCACGTGTTTTGTTTCACAAACATACACTGTTGCTTTTCTTAGTCACATCCTTAGTACTATTGTGTGCCTACGTTTTTTTTAACCAACCATTGGAGCCACAATAGTGCATTTTCAAATATTCTAGCCGCTTTTTAATGACCTGACTTAATTAATGTTACTGTTATTAATTTTAATTAGGTTCTGGCTAGAGACGAAAGCGTGCCCCGAATTTCATTAGCATAGATTGTATGTTTATAATACTGGTAAACTGTTTGTGTTTTTATTTATGCTTATAAATTTTATACAAAAACTGTGGTGAAGGTTTGCTGCAATAATCGTGTTTATGTATATAATTAAGAAAGTCAAATTATGTATTGAATTATACCAATTCTATTGGACTTTGACGTAATACAGCCTACAGGTATATTACATTTGCAGTATACATGTATAAACATAGTATACCTTTTGCTAACGTTTATGCAAAATACTTACAAAATCATTATCCACATCTATACATCTAACACCGGCTGCAACTTTTCGCCATCGTTAGACACGGCAAAATTTTCATCTTCATCACTTGGATAATTGGCACTCCACCACTGTGCGCTTTTTAAGACACTTTTTGCCTCGCACAATCAATCTGTGGAACAAGTTATTGTCTGTGGTATTTCCGGACCGATACTACCTTCAAACCTTAAACAAAAGAGCGTACCTACTTCTTCCTAAAAGGCCTGCAACGCGCTTGTGACTCATAAAGAAAAAAAAAGTTACTTGCGTGCATAGGAGGCGGTAGTCACTTTCCATTAAGTGACCCGTCTACTCGTTTGCTCCCTCATCCATAACAAAAATACATTCTCTCGTGCGTTTTAGCATCGTTGACAATAAAATTTATGTTTTGAAATTGACTGAACGATGTAACTACAATTATAAATTAATCATGTTCTTTTGAAAATGTGCGAAAACACATAGTTAAAGTTCAAAATAACTTGTTTTACTCTTTTTATAGTTGTTCCAATGGTTCAGTACGGGGCATACGCTTGAATGTCAAATACATTGTTATTTGCCCCGTTTCAATGGTAATTGATATTTTTGTTTAATTTGATGTTATTTCTGTCTTCAGGTCGTGATAATAACGTTTCTTTTTATTCATCTATTGGTACATTGGTATAACTCTCTTTTGGCGTCCGTTCAAAGAGTTGTGAAACAATGCTCGCCTCTTTTCAGGTGGTCATTAAAAGTCTATCGGTCTCTTTGAACCCGTGACGGTAATACAGTGATAAACGACTTCGAGCACATTAGGATTCCTTTATTCATGTGTGGATATAGTATCAAACAAAATAAGTGAAGAGTGCCACTGATACTCTTCCAAGTTGGAATGTAGTATCCAGCCGCTACTTAGATTCTCTTTTGTGAGAAATACAAATACGTAATTTACTACATTTTAAATTAAATAATCACATTACCATGGTCATACTCATAGTAGCAATCTGAATTCTTTATTTTTTCTTGCCTGCTTGGTCTGTCCTTTGTGCAATTTCGCGATTTATAAAGAGTGAGCGTGACTTTTCATTGATTAGTTTTTTATTGCATCGAAAATTTTAAAATTTATTTGTGCATTCTGACCTTTATAGTCATCAGTGTCACCATATTGGTGGTGCACTTGATTTATACATGACATGATTTATACATGACTTGATGACTTCATTATCTATCATAGTAATTTCAGTATTATCAATAATCTAAGTCATTATGATATTCATACGATACAATATAAGTTAAATTATCAACAGATTGTAACTAATAATAGTATCATATTTAAACTGTAAAATATTTGACACAAATGTCTTAGGAGTACCTTTATAGAGGTAACGTTGATAAATCTATAGATGGTGTCGTAAAGCTAATGAATTATGCTCAATTAAATTTACAGACATACTCTCAACACGAACACGGAACTGATAAATTACCGCAGCGAAATAACAAACAGCTTGACACTTTATAATTAATTCTTTGTTGACCGTCTACCCTTCACTCCGTTAATCCCTAACAAACTAAAAACTCCCCAACAATTTATTTATATCTAATCCTAATTTAAGTTTTAGTCTGTCCGCTGTAATTTTAATCTTTTGAAAATTAATTTAGATTGAAAGTTCTTTTGTCACATAAAAATGTAAACTTGCCTGTTTTAAGGGAAAGTAAGTAATATAAATACAAAAAATAATGTTCCGAGAAAAGTTAAAGTTATTTTAAAGATAAATTAACATTATGTTCTTGTCGTATATTTTTCCGCGGTAGACAACTTCTGTTGCCTAGTCCGCCCAACAGACATTTACTAACATTAGCATTAGTAACGTCTAGATTTGCGATTTAAATTTTATGAAGTAATTTACTATACAAATTCTTAAGAAAACACATTCATAAACTTTAATTATACTTTACGTTTCTGTAAAATTTTATGTGAGGAGATTGTAATTGTACATTGTTACAAATATTCCCATTAGATTTGAAGAGCTGGAGCTAAAATAAGAATGTTACTGTAAAATGTAATGTCAAGAATTATAAGTTCTACCATGTTACAATTTAAAAAATATAACTTAAAAAGCTGTGCTGTAATCAATTTATCTCCAATAATTTAATTAGAGTTTCAACTCCTCAAACATTGAACACCTCTATTTTTTTTTATTTCAATTTAAGGGCATTTATATTTTGCAATTATCGATTAGAATTATACCGATATTTACGTCACAGTCATAACACGTCGTAAATTTCGGAATAATTTTACTCAACATTTTCCAGTTTAATTTAATTTGCTCTCGGCAATTGGTTTAAATCCTCATTCCTTTTGAATCTTAAAAAAGGATCTGCTTTATATGCATATCTCGTAAATTATAAGGCATACTGTCGATCCGCCCTTTTTTTTTTCCGTGCGGAAATCCCCTCGGATACCACCTATCGGTGGCATGTCGGACTCGAACCGGCTTCGAACGGGTACAGTGTAGATACTATACATTGATACTACTAATATGGTGTTTTAAATATCTGATATATAGTAAGATAATCATTATAATGATACGCTGGAACAGGTCTATCTTGTAAGGTTTAGCCAGCGTTTGCGATGTTAGCGCGCAAAAACAAGTTTTTTTACAAATCCATATTACAAATCTTTGAAATTGTCGGATTTCTTCTAATATAATATTCATGTATTATACATATAAACCCGCCTCTTGAATCAATCTCTCTTTTGGTGAAAACCGCATCAAAATCCTTCGTGTAGTTTAAAAGATCTCAGCGTACAAGGGAAAAAAAGCAACTTTATTTTATATTATGTAAAGCAGCTTAACTATATCTTTAAATAAAAATCAAGGAACTAATTATATTGTAGAGTTCACCATTTAGTTCATAGAAATTAGGTACTTCATACATTTTACAGTACAGACAGTAGTACACCT